ACTAATGTGATTGGCTGTTGTCACTATGACGGTCGCGTCAGCACCAAGCTTCAGAAACGCCCTCCATCAAGCGTATCGACGCAGATACCCCGTGTGAATGTACCAACACCAGAAAACTAATGTGATGGGCTGTTGTCACTATGACGGTTGCGTCAGCACCAAGCTTCAGAAACGCCCTCCATCAAGCGTCGACGCCCACACGCCGTGTGAATGTACCGTAATACAGTACGGCAACTGCATGCACGTCTATGTATAACGCTTCTCATAGCTATTTGAAAATAAGTGTATAAATGGAACAGTTCTTTGTTGGAACTGAGCTGATGATCTGAATGAGAGAGAGAGAGATGCAGAGCAAGGTGACGTGAGAAACAGGATTGAGAACAGCTGCTTTAGAACCTTGATTTTGAAAATTGTGAACTCATTAGAATCGTTAGAAGACAGAATTGCGATTCATATATGAATAGATTTTTACGTGCACCTCTAGTTTTCTCTTCCTCTTCTCTAAAGCAACACAACATGGCCTCGCCCCCTTTGCTGCATGTTCCCGGGGGCGGGGTTTATCTGGGGTTGTGACATCACAAACCCTGGAAGTAACTCGTTGTAGTCCCTACAAGCCGTTTCTGTAGGCATTAAACTGCCATAATTTTAAAAGACTATATCTCCGTTTGCATGGACTTTTCAGCGTTGTAACTTTGCAGATATTGTTCATGCTCAAACAGCAACATTACACACTAACTAACATTAAAAAAGTGAAATCGCAATCAACCACCCCTTTAATCTTTACAATTCTTGTCAACTAAATGGTCAACAGAAATTAGAAGTGATTTTATATTAAAAAAAAACTGCTAAAAGTAATTAATAAATTTGAAAAATAACAAATAACAAAAACCATGACTATCAAAAAAAGGTGTAAAATTTATGCAGTCCCATATATAAAAAAAAAACGATATCATGGCCAATAATTAAGAATTATTTCCCACAACTTATTATTTTATGGCCATGTTTCACTAATTTGTGCACTTGTTTTAATTTAGGCAAAATGTGACCATGATTTAATGAAATGTGGAAACAAATTCTCAATTCATGGCTGATATCTTGTTTTTTCCAACCCACATTTCATGTGCGGGGCACCAGAGGGACATTTTTTATATATATATATATTGTGTCACTGATTAGCCTCTGGTCCGCGTTCATGTATTTTGGAGGAGGTGTGGCTTTGGAGAGTGATTTGCAGGGAGAGTGGGATCTTATGCTTTCAAAGCTAGCTTGCTATTGCTAGCCTCTCTGAAATCACCTAGCCTACTTTTAAAAAATGATATTGAACCAGTAAGAAAAAAAGGATGGGATTATCAATCAAGAATTGAATGGATTGCAGAGAAGCTTATTTTTAACTCTGGAAGAAGAATCAGAAGAATCACTCCCAATTAGACTTGGAAGGTATAGTATGAAAGTAAATAGGTTCCGCTTTGATTTCATGTCGACCTTAAGACTGAATTGTTTAAAGGGAAAGAAATCTAAAAGAAAAGCATGTAGAAAAAAGGCACCCAAATCTATATCATAGTGGCACATAAGAGCGGTAAATAGCCATACTCGTGACCAATATGCTAATCATGAATGCAATATGAGGACCAAAATAACCATCACTGTACAGTAATGTGCTCATCAGAGACAGCAAGCTGTTGATTTACTTGAGACACACAAGCGGTTAAATACGTTTTCTATCACTATTATAATATGGAACTCTTCATCATCAACGGCTGATGTGTAGGTCGCTGTGATTGGGCCGCAGGTGAGTGAATGCGACGCGGCCGATGTGGTCCATCATTTTTCATGTGGATGTTTTCCTGAATGCCCTGAGAGCGAGAGTGCTGAGAAGAAAGATCCCACCGCACCAATTAAACCACATCAAATTAGCTAGACTGTCCATGATTGGCTGCTGGAGGGAGGATAATGGAGTAAAGAAATCGAAAGTACATGTGAGAAAGAAGGAACTGAATACACAAGATAGCGACGAGTATGGAGAGATAGTGAAGTATCGTAATGTCATCACTGTCAGAGACCTGATCCTGGTTCGGAGCTGATAATGACGGTGAGCTCAGAAAAAACGCTCTTGCTTCTTTTTCACAACACACCTTCCTGGTTTATTTGGGGCTTATGTGGGGTGGCAGGTTTCTCCTTATCTCTGTGAGTCTACACAGGAGCCGAAGACACTCCTCTCTGGTCTCTGGTTTTCCAGCTCACAGCAACGGCATTGGAGTACTTCAGCTAAGGCAGTCGTGGATTGAAACTCAATAACTCGCTTCAAACGGCTCAAGCTTCCAGTTCTGGAACCATCTTGTCCATTTCGTCCTCAGTTTGTGTCAGTGTGCCAAACAGACAAGCACCAAAGAGTTCATGTTGGTCGATGGGAATACTAAAATGTCGTTTGATTGAGGATGAGAGGTGGGCTTCACAACTTTGTGATTTGATGGCTTACTTGTTTTGTCTCAGAGCACTTTGGGGAAGACAAAACAAAATGAGTTAGACTGCATTTCCTCAAGGAGATATAACTATTGCTTGCAAGGTAGTACAAGAACAGTGTTCAAATTTTAGGTGAGCTTAGGACACACGTCTTATTGTCAGTCGGCTGCACACAGGGATCAATAGGCACACTATATTCCAAAACCTAGTGAACTGCCTAGGCAGCAATTTAAGGCGTCATGGATCTGCCATTGACACAAAGCCTGTTCTAAAAGGTAGGCAGCATAATTATATTAGCATCGCATGAATCCTTTGTGGACAAGAATGCATTGCGATGAGCAGTCCAATAAATCCAAAATGGTGGACAAAGAGAGAAATGTCAATTGTAAACATACTTCTAATTCATTTAATACTGAAAAGCATAGCTACAAATTGTTTAAAATGATTAAAAAATAAACTATTTAATCGCTCCTTTTTGTGATATGTTCATTTATGCTTATTAGAGTATCATACCATTATGCCAGGAAGACAAACCCATCTAAAAATCAAAATTCATTGTTCATTTTTCAAACTTTAATCCAAAAATTATAAAATATATAATTATAAAATATGATGATTTCTAATATAATATATAAAAAAAAAAAAATTATATTACATTTATACATAAACTACCATTCAAAAGTTTGGGGTCAGTAGGATTTTTTTTTTTATATATACAAAAGTATCTTATGCTCACCAAGACTGCATTTATTTGATCAAGTACTTTAAAACAATTAACAGTAAACACAGTAATATTCAGAAATATTACAATTTATAATATATTTTAATATATTTAATATAAAATGTAATTTATTCCTTTGATGCAAAGCTGAATTGTATTACTTTATTTTATTACTCAAGTCTTCAGTGTCACATGATCCTTCAGAAATCATTCTAATATGCTGATTTGCTGCTCAAGAAACATTTCGTCTTATCAATGTTGAAAACAGTTGTGCTGCTTCATATTCTGTGGAAATCGTAATACTATTTTTTCAGGATTATTTGATAAATAGAAAGTTTCCAAACAAACAACAATAATTTTGTAACATTTTGAATGTCTTTACTGTCACGTTTGATTAGTCTAATGCAACTCTAACCCCACATTTTTTAATCTTATTGTACATTAAAAATATAGATATATATTTTTAATTATTAAATTCAAAAGGTACTGTATAAAGTTTACAAAAAAAACAAAACAAAGACAGTGCACATTAGATAAATAGAGTCTGGACGGTCCAGGCTATCAGAAGTTAAATACTTTGGTTTAACGGTTTAGAACTACAATGAGGAACATCAATACCTTTGATTTGTAACCATAACATCCTATCAATGGTGAGTAAAATGGTTTGTATTAGAAAAGCCAACAATAAAACATTTCTTAAAAACTACCAAGCAACAAAAGATCCAATTTAATGTGATATTTTTGTATTTTTAGTTCTGTCAAGCAAGCACACAAACAAGTGAACATACCTGTCCTGAGGCTAAAGCCTATTATTGCCGACAGAGGAAGGCGTAATTAGACCTTGCTGCGCAGTAGTCCCCCCGTAGGGTGCTCTGGGGTACTGCACTCTGACGAGTTCTTGGCTTTGTCCTTGTTATTGTTGGGCTCATTGTCTTTGATGATGTCATACTGGCGGCAGAACAGAGCTATCACACCTGTGCACAAACAGGCATGAGGAAGTGAGAGAGAGCGCGACGATTCAGAGAGTTGAAGACAGGATGGCAGAGTGGTAGTGATGGATGGGAAGTTGTCGGAAAAAGGAAGAAAAAATGTATTGATGGATTGCACCATGATTCTGTTCCAAATAATAACATACCAATTATAGCCGCACGAGAACAGAATGATGAGTCGCGCTGTGGCCCTGAGTTTACGTTGTGCTAGTACTGTCCCGTTTGATGATTTATTCTCTAGACTTCTCAAAAGCTTGATGTGGATTACAAAAAAGATAAGGAAGGCCTCTATGACCCAATTATAAGAAACATTTCGTCTTATCAATGTTGAAAACAGTTGTGCTGCTTCATATTCTGTGGAAATCGTAATACTATTTTTTCAGGATTATTTGATAAATAGAAAGTTTCCAAACAAACAACAATAATTTTGTAACATTTTGAATGTCTTTACTGTCACGTTTGATTAGTCTAATGCAACTCTAACCCCACATTTTTTAATCTTATTGTACATTAAAAATATAGATATATATTTTTAATTATTAAATTCAAAAGGTACTGTATAAAGTTTACAAAAAAAACAAAACAAAGACAGTGCACATTAGATAAATAGAGTCTGGACGGTCCAGGCTATCAGAAGTTAAATACTTTGGTTTAACGGTTTAGAACTACAATGAGGAACATCAATACCTTTGATTTGTAACCATAACATCCTATCAATGGTGAGTAAAATGGTTTGTATTAGAAAAGCCAACAATAAAACATTTCTTAAAAACTACCAAGCAACAAAAGATCCAATTTAATGTGATATTTTTGTATTTTTAGTTCTGTCAAGCAAGCACACAAACAAGTGAACATACCTGTCCTGAGGCTAAAGCCTATTATTGCCGACAGAGGAAGGCGTAATTAGACCTTGCTGCGCAGTAGTCCCCCCGTAGGGTGCTCTGGGGTACTGCACTCTGACGAGTTCTTGGCTTTGTCCTTGTTATTGTTGGGCTCATTGTCTTTGATGATGTCATACTGGCGGCAGAACAGAGCTATCACACCTGTGCACAAACAGGCATGAGGAAGTGAGAGAGAGCGCGACGATTCAGAGAGTTGAAGACAGGATGGCAGAGTGGTAGTGATGGATGGGAAGTTGTCGGAAAAAGGAAGAAAAAATGTATTGATGGATTGCACCATGATTCTGTTCCAAATAATAACATACCAATTATAGCCGCACGAGAACAGAATGATGAGTCGCGCTGTGGCCCTGAGTTTACGTTGTGCTAGTACTGTCCCGTTTGATGATTTATTCTCTAGACTTCTCAAAAGCTTGATGTGGATTACAAAAAAGATAAGGAAGGCCTCTATGACCCAATTATAACATTAGAAACTCTCTCGTCTTTTCTCTGCTTTACAAAAAAGGAAGGGTTTATGGCCACAGACTACAGATCTTGAAAACAAAATAAGTAAAACTTAATGAGATTTTTATCAAATCCCTGTGTACCATCATTTGCATTTGTTAGAAATGTCGTAAAACTTACAGAATGTGAATGAATGAAATTAGTTGCATGTCCCGTCGCAACTCGCCCGCCACCTCCTCCTCTGGAGTCAGAAGCATCTGAGGTTGCTTCGTGCCATTCACATTCCGGGTCTGCTCAACCGTGCAGCCAACGAGCTGCGCTCCCCGGAGAGTGGAGACTCCATCCCCAGACGGTCCAGCTGATTTGGAGACGTTTTGGAGCCGCTCAGGTAGACCTGTTTGCCTCTCCAGAGACTTCTCACTGCCAGTTGTTTTACTCCCTGACCGAGGGAACACTCGGCACGGATGCACTGGCACACAGCTGGCCACGGGGCCTACGCAAGTATGCGTTTCCCCCAGTGAGCCTTCTCGCACAGACACTGTGCAAGATCAGGGAGGGCAAGGAGCAGGTCCTGCTTGTGGCACCCTACTGGCCCACTCGGACCTGGTTCCCGGAACTAATGCTCCTTGTGACAGCCCCTCCCTGGCAGATTCCTCTGAGGAAGGATCTACTGACTCAGAGACGGGGCACCCTTTGGCACCCGCGTCCAGACCTCTGGGAACTTCACATCTGGTCCCTGGACGGGACACGGAGGTTCTAGGTGACCTACCCCAAGAGGTAGTAGACACCATCACTTCGGCAAGAGCACCGTCTACGAGCACTCATGCCTTGATGTGGAACCTGTTCGTTGAGTGGTGTTTTTCTCACTGAGAGGACCCCCGTAGATGCCCGATCAGAGTCGTGCTGTCCTTTTTGCAGCAAGGGTTGGAGCGAAGGCTGTCTCCCTCCACCCTTAAAGTCTATGTGGCTGCGATTGCTGCGTATCATGGCCCTGTGGAAGGAAAGTCGGTAGGGAGGCATGACTTGGTCGTCAGGCTCCTTAGGGGGGCGAGAAGGTTAAATCCTCCCCAGCCCCCCTCTATACCCTCTTGGGACCTGTCTCTAGTGCTCAAAGCACTACAGAAGGGCCCATTTGAGCCCTTGCAGTTAGTCGAGCTAAAGGTTCTTTCAATGAAAACTCTGCTCCTGATTGCATTGGCCTTCATCAAGAGGGTAGGGGACCTGCACGCATTTTCAGTCGACAAATCGTGCCTAGAGTTTGGGCCGGCTGACTCCCAGGTAATCCTGAGGCCCGGGTCCAGCTACGTGCCCAAGGTTCCTACTACCCCCTTCAGGGATCAAGTAGTGAACCTCCTAGCGCTGCCCCCCGGAGAAGGCAGACCCAGCCCTAGCTTTGCTTTGTCCCGTCCGATCCTTGAGATGGTACGTAGACCGGACACAAAGCTTCAGGACCTCAGATCAGCTCTTTGTCTGTTACGGAGGCCAGTAGAAGGGGAATGCCGTCTCTAAGCAGAGGATGGCTCACTAGATATTGGATGCCATCACCCTGGCTTATCAGGCACAGGGTGCTCAGGTTGTGAGCTCACTCTACTAGAAGCGTTGCATCCTCCTGGGCGCTGGCTCGTGGCGCCTCGCTGACAGATATTTGTAGAGCTGCGGTCTGGGCGACCCCCAACACGTTTGCTAGGTTCTATAGCCTCCGTGTTGAACCGGTATCCTCCTATGTTTTAACCTCAAACGGGTAGAAGCACCGAGAGGCCTCGATTTAGTGTCGGCTTGCTAAGACAGCTCTAGAGAGTCCGTACTGTATACCTGTCGAGCTCCTCCATCCCCTCGGCAGCCAGAACGGGTAGAAGCACTGAGAGGCCCCGGTTTAGTGTCGGCTTGCTAAACAGTTCCAGAGAGTCCATACAGTAGACCCTGTAGAGCTCCTCCATCCCCTCGGCAGCCAGACGTGGCAGAATGTCCGGCGCCAGGCCCTCACTCGATGAATCTGTGAGAACCAGTAGAGGGCTGGGTTCAATATTTAGAGACCTGAGTGGATCCCATATGTGTAAAGTCCATGGTATAGCCTCAGAGCCCCGTGTTTCCCCGGCAGACTTCTACCATTTCCAAGAGTGTTATAAACACCTCTAATCTTCCATATGCACCTAAACTGTTGTTCATATGTGTAAGTGCTTCCGAAACCTCCTTCGGGAAGGATGGGGCTTCCGCAACGTGTTCATATGTGTAAGAGCTTCCGAAACCTCCTTCGGGAAGGATGGGGCTTCTGCAACGTTCCTGTTCCAAGTGGAACGGGTATGTTTTCCCAGTGTTATCCAATTTCACTGAGTGGGTAGTGCTACAACAAACAGTGACTGGTCTTCTTGTTGCGAGCCCCGGCCTACGCCGAAAAGGGGGAGCAGGAGACTCGCACAGGACACTGGAAGTGGCAGCATCTGTGGCGCTTTGGTAGGGATCCCAAAGTCGGTCATTACCGACATGACGTCGAGAGTGACCGACTGAAAGGGAACATCTCGGTTACGTATGTAACCCTCGTTCCCTGAAGTAGGGAACGGAGACGTCAAGTCCCGTCGCCACAGCTGCTGTACCACCGCTGAGTGGCCGGGGCACTGGCTCGGCTCCTCAGCGAAAACCTGAGTATGCGTTGCACCTGCTGCCTAGTTATACTCGCGCTGCGATCAGCCCTACGCCGAAAAGGGGGAGCAGGAGACTCGCACAGGACACTGGAAGTGGCAGCATCTGTGGCGCTTTGGTAGGGATCCCAAAGTCGGTCATAACTGATGTGACTCGTAGTGACCGACTGAAAGGGAATGTCTCTGTTACGTATGTAACCCTCGTTCCCTGAAGGAGGGAACGGAGACGTCATGTCCCGTCTCCACAGCTGCTGTACCACCGCTGAGCGACCGGGTCACCGGCTCGGCTCATCAGCAAAAACCTGAGTAAGCACTGCACCTGCTGCCTAGTTATACTCACGCTTCAATCAGGGCAGCTGGATGCAATCATCACATGCCAATGTGCATGGGCTCATTTAGTTTACACTCGAAGTGGCTTGGTCTCTCTAAGCGAGATCCCAAAGTAAGTCATTACCGACGTGACGTCTCTGTTCCCTCCTTCAGGGAACGAGGGTTACATATGTAACCGAGATGTTTCTCCTCAAAATATTGGATGCAAAAAAAAATCGCAGTAAAAAAATAATACACCAATATTACAAAATATATCATTAAAAAGTGTATAAAACATTTGTTTTACTAAAGAAACATTTTCCAACAGCGACACCAGGAGGTAAAGTTACAGCGGGAGTCTTTCTTGCCGCCTCTGAGCCCTTTGAGTTTTAACAGACCGCTAAAGCGTGCCGTGACTTTGGTGGGGGGTAATTTAGAATTAATGGGGGAAAATCATGTGAGAGGAGGCAATGCTTCTATCGCGATTTGATATGACTGGTTATGGTGTGCTGTGATTGGTTCATGCGATAAATCCCGCCTCTTGTGTTCATGCGCATTCGCAAATCAGTCTGAATGAACAACATAATGGCGTTAATGGGAAGACTAATTTAAAAAAAGTAAGTAAACAGCTCACACACTTAGATATAACCACTTTGGTACATGAAAATAAGTCTTACAATGGCAAGAAAACATGATGTGTGGGAGTTTTTAGTGAGTAATCAGCTTGGTGAAATTTAAAGTAAATCTCAGTGTCTGTTAGTGTTGGGCGATATGCTCAATTTTCATATCGTCCGATCATCAGCCTGTGAGATCACGATACACGATATTATCTAGCATGAATAATTATTCAAAAATCAGCTACAGAAAACGAGCAAAGAACATTTACATCACCAAAGAACATCATCACAAGCTCAAGTCTAGCGCGAGTTTATGCATTTTAAAATACACTCCCGTTAAAATCAGTGAAGCTATCTACACTGTATGATGAATAAATCTCTTATTCTTACATCGCACGTACATCTGCACTTTGTTGTTTATGATGAAAGAATTCACAAGTCAGAATTCAGTCAGCGCGCACTGAACAACGAAACTCCGCTGTTTCAGCGATGACTCATCTGAACGCCTCTGATTGGCCATTGCATTCATAAGCATAACATAATCGTGTGTGATTGGTTATAACGCGCAACACTGTTAAAATGCAGAAAAAGGCGATATCAGCCACAGGCGATATCTCTGACTATCGTCGATACACGATACTATCGTCTATCGGCACAACCCTAGTGTCTGTGACCAATATTTACCGAGCTTTGATGACTGATAACCAGAAAAATTTAACAATAGTTATAACCTGATAATAATAATTATAATAATAATAATAGTCTTGCTATCATCAGTGGTATCAGCTACAGGCGATATCTCTGACTATCGTCGATACACGATACTATCGTCTATCGGCACAACCCTAGTGTCTGTGACCAATATTTACCGAGCTTTGATGACTGATAACCAGAAAAATTTAACAATAGTTAAAAGTTAACTATTAAAAGAAATAGCTGAACATAAGTTCACAAATAAAATATATTATTTAAATTGTTACTGCCCTGAGTTATTATTTTGGAATAAATGCAAAATGCTAAAAACACTAACTTGATGAGATTCATACTTGTCTTTAATAAATAGAATATTGATTATGTTGTTAATGTAAAAATATTTAAAAAAAAATTCTGCTAGTCTAAGTATTGTTTAATCAAGAAATTGTGGCTGGGACATGAATTTACATTTGATTAAAAAAAACTTTAAGGACTTTGCCTTCTCTTTTCAGAACACCACTTATATATAAATATAAGTATAAAGTAATTATACTGTGTAACTGAGAAGTACATCAAATGGAAATCACACAAAAATATCCCTCATTTTGAGGAAAATAAATAAATACAATTATTTAAAAAAAAATTAGCAATATGCAAATAAATTAAACTTACTTTTTTGTGTTGTGGAAATGTTACTATTTATAGCTTGTTTTTTATATAGCTTTATTATATATATATATATATATATATATATATATATTTGTAATTTACATATTAATGAAACCTTACAAATAAACTTCATTATAAATCCTTTTAAAAGCTATAAACTTTTTGTGATTTAGAAATGTATTCTACAACATTGATTATATGACCTTCGTATTCTTTTTCTTCATGTGACACACATCTGTTGATCAAAGTGTGAACAGATGAAATCCCACTCAATCTGACATTTTCAAATTTAATCTAGGTGACTTTGAAATGTGGAAATACATTTGTGTGAATGTAGCCAAAGTTTCAACAGTAAGATGATTCTCACCAGCAAACTGCTCACGTTCTTACCTGCCCACATGACGAGAACCACCACGATGATAATGAGCTCTCCAGCCCTGAGCTGGGCGGCCTGGCCAACCTCCTCCATGGTCACTTCATCTGTGTGAATTCAAACATTCACAGTTCATTCGCATGTTTTCAAAGCCAAAAACATGCACAGCTCTGCAGTTATCAAAGCTCAGGCATTGTGACAACATGCAAACCACAGAAGAATTACTCAAGGAATTAAGACCATCTTCGAATATCTAATTAATTCTTTAATTAGCCTCAAGAGGATATAAAGCCTAAAGCAAACATTCTTCTCTGGCTCAGATATGACCAAACCGTTATCATTTTCATCAAACTGGCTGCTTCCAGCCAAACCAAAGTGGAAGCTCATCAGAAGCCATGTTAGAGGATCACTTCAGGGTTGAGCTCTCCTCTCGCTGGAACGAGACCTCAGGGGTCACTTTCTTGTCTGGAGATTGAAAGCGTCTAGTAATGAAGGCCTTGTTAGTTAAAAGAAACTACGCAGCACTCTGGTCTGTGTTCACTGATTAACCGCAGAGGGAAAAGCGCAGTTCTTCAGAGTCCTGCTTATCTGAAGGAGCAGAAACGTGCGTTTCGTAATGACTTGGAGAAAATACGCCCGTCTCTTTGTGCGCCTCTTCTTTCTCTGAAGAAAACGTCGATACCCTTCAGGTGAAACTGAAATGTTATTGGATGTCTCAGGGGAAAAAGTGCAGGGGAAAAGTTGGGGCATTTTTCAGCTCACCATCGACATCAATACATGTCATGAGTCCAGTAAGAAAAACAACATGAAGCCACCCTGAAGCGATGGAGATGGGAGGCCCGCGGAGAGAAAGATTAACTGTCTGTGTTTATTAGCCGCTCTGGTATTTAGTGAAGTGTAATGGTGCTCGCTTGATTAATTAGAGTGTGTTTTAAAACTTGCAAAAATTCTTCTATTACAATGTGAAAAAATACACATTATATTGTAACTATTTGATTATTTTTTATTAATTTCAAATTTGTAATTTTTTTTTTATATTGGTAAAATGTAAACAAGAACTGAGTAGTTCAGAATATATATATATATATACAGTGGGTACGGAAAGTATTCAGACACCCTTAAATTTTTCACTCTTTGTTATATTGCAGCCATTTGCTAAAATCTTATTTGTTAGTTTGTTCATTTATTTATTTATTTTATTTTTACTTTTCTTTGTTAAAAATGATTCAAAATCCTAAAATGTGGTTTAGGGTTTAAATTAGATTTAGATTTTTTTTTGGCCCCACTGTATATTATATTATAATGTTTAACACTATTTTAATATAATATATTTTTTTAGTGACATAAACCTATGAAATGTTGTTTAAAAGTTAAGCCCTGTCCACACGAACGCAGTTATTTTTAAAACCGTCGCTTTTTCTACGCGGTTAGGCCATTCGTCCAAACGCAAACGCAGCACCAGTTCACTGAAACTGAACATTTTTGAAAACGCCTGCCAGGGTGAAGATTTTTAAAAACTCTGGTTGCAGTGTTGTCGTGTAGACAGCGAAACCGGAGTTTTTTGGCTTGTGACGTCGGAGCATGCACCGTTATCTCCGCCTACTGGAAACTTTTTCAGGCTTCTGATTGGCCAACATGGCTTTACAGTTGAGATTATATCGCCACCTGTTGGCCTTCATAGCATGCGTTTGCGTTTTCATGTGGACAGAACATGAGACATGTGCGGTTTCATGTTTTTTTAAAACGGAAGAAGGAAAAACTCTGTTTATAAAAATACTCGTGTACGTGTGGACATGGCCTTGAGCAACAGGGTTGTTTTTCATTTAAAAAAAATACCGAAATCAATATCTAGAGAACATAGCAAATACATTGTTATACACTACCATTCAAAAGTTTGGGTCAGTGTGATTTGTTTTTCAATTTTTTTTTAAGAAACTCATACTTTTATTCACTGAGGATGCATTAAACTGATCAAGATCAAGTGGCAGTAGAGACATTTATAATGTTACAAAATGTTTCAAATTAAAATGCAGTTCTTTTGAACTATTTATCCTGAAAAAATGCATTGTGGTTTCCACAAAAATATGAAGCAGCAAAACTGTTTTTAAAATGAATGATGATAAGAATGCACCAAATGAGCATATGCAAATTATTTCTGAAGGATCATGTGACACTGAAGAATGGAGTAATGATGCTGAAATTCAGCTTGACATCACAAGAATAGATGACATTTTACAATATTTTCAAATAGAAAACAGTTAATGTCGTTTTTACTATATTTTTGATCAAATAAATGAAGCCTTTGTGAAAATAAGAGATCTTACTGACCCAAAACTTTTGAATAGTAGTGTACATAATTTAACGATAGCAAATGAGATATGCACTAAATTTATTGCTTATTTTTCACATTTTTTGTGAGTAAAATTCCCTGAAACTAAATCATGGTTAACTGTTCTTCATAAGCGTGGATGTGAGGGATGAAGAGGTATCATCATTTGACATTTCACTGATGTCTGAGGTTACACCTCAGTGAAAACTCCCATGTGGATCCTGCCCGACTCTAACCTGCACGATTGAGAGTTTGACACCAAATGTCATCAGCACGGTCCAGTGCCAAAGACTGACACTCGCCCACAAAATGACAAGTGTTTCTGGAACATAAACCTCCCCAGCAGATGTTTGTCCAAGTAAGTAGGTCATCGAAATGGATTATACAACAGAAAAATTGACTGTATTGTGCATTGCTCTAGATAAGACAAGCTCCTAGTAACAGAAAAATTAATGGGAAAATGCACAAAAGTCAACACTTTATGCCCTGAATTATGACACAACACCATTTTTAGAGCGGTTGTATAACCACCTCCCTGCTGTGTTTTTTTTTTCCCTCTACGGAAGTGATTTGACTGTTAGTCGTCTTTCAAATGTACAAATCTTGCACCATGAATGCGTTTTATCAGCATTGTATCTCTGCATATAATAAGCCCCAGAATCTGTATCTGTTTTGTCATAATTCATGTCGTTCTAAAAGCACTCTAAAAGCAGCGGTCTAAAAGACTTTGTTTCTTGTAACATAAAGGGACATTTTTTTTTATAAAATAGGCCTACTAGTTCCATGCATTTGCATTAAATGGATTTTGGGGATTTCAAGCTTCAAAAAGCACCATAAAAGTCATAAATGGGGTCCATACATCCGTAAACTATGAATCATTCAGACCAGGTTTTTGAACTTGGTCCATCTATTCACTGAAAGATCTCACTTCAAAGAAGAATCTGTTCATGAGTCAGACATAGCAACATCTCACACAGAACTACAGCCAAAGTAAAACATTTCAGTCAATAATGCAGTAAATTTCATCTCAGTAAGTGCCTGTACTCCTTATTCCAGCATTCCTTGTGTTATTTGCCCCCTTAGTGTGAATCGCTTTGTTTTATTCCTATTTGTAAGTCGCTTTGGATAAAAGCATCTGCTAAATGAGTAGTGCTAAATGTAAGCTTCAATCTGTTCGAGCTATCAAATAGTGCACAAGGCATATACAGTATATACTAATTTTAGGACACTTTTATAGAGCTTTTTGCTTTTTTGCAGCTTGACAGCCCCAGTCCTCATTCACTGTCATTATATTGAAAAGGATCACCAGCATATTCCTTTGTTTTCCATTGATAGACAGTCATACAGGTTTGGACTGACATAACAATGAGTGAATGATGAGTGAATTTACATTTTTGGGTGAACTATGCTTTTAAATGTTTTTTATTTATTTTATTTATTTTATTATGGTCCTGCTAGCCCCTCTTGTCACAGCTGCAAGATATAATGTGAAATGTATATGCTAAATAAAGTTGCAATTGCAGGATAGGGATTGTTTCCATTTCCAAAATGGTCCTCTGAAGTACTTCAAATGGTAGTTGTTTGTGAATGCTGGCTTACCTGGGCTTTTGGAGGCCAGTTTCTCGGACTCTTTAGGAGTGCGGAACAGAACAGGTTCACTCAGGGGGCTGGTGCCGCTCATGCTAATGGACTGCACATGGACAATGTACTCTGTGTCTTCCTCCAAGTCCCATAATGCACATGAACGAGTGGTAGTGTTCACTTCCTGGATGAATCGCAGCATACGAACGTCCTTTTTCTATGAACATCAAAAATGAATAAAAATCTGAGATTGAGAGCGCTAATAATCTAAGAAGAAATGTGGTTGATGCCACAACATGAAATCAAAATGCATCCAATTTAATTTCTTAATACATGTTCCTGGTCTAATTTTAAACAATTCATCAGTGCATGTTATATTTGTAATAATCAATATGTAATATGCAACAACTTTCCTCTTTGGTCTTTTTCCTCTTATTTATTATGGAAGTGGCAGCATCTGTGGCGCTTTGGTAGGGATCCCAAAGTCGGTCATTACCGACATAACTTATCTCTCCCTTTCCATATGCAATGATCCATTTTTATCCATTTATGCATTTATTTATAGTTTTTTTTAAGAAAAAATGGTAATTATAGCCATTTAACAAATTAATCAGAAAGTCCTCATTTTTAATATTATAAATATGAAATATGAAATATTTAAAATATATTTAATATTTAATTTGGCTAATACTGCAAATTAGCTACTGGTAATTATTTTTTTTTTTGCGTATTATTTAAATCTCTCATTTTAAACTTCAAATAAATTCAAATTTAATAATTAATTATAATAATGTATGCATTTAGCAGACACTTTGCGACTTACAGTGCATTCAGGCTATACATTTTTTACCAGTATGTGTGTTCCAGGAGAATCGAACCCACGACCTTTTGCACTGCTAACACAATGCTCTACCACTGAATCACAGGAACATTAAATTTAACTTCAAATAAATAAATTGCAAATGACAACCCCATAAAACCCAACATAACAAATACCTCATGAATCTTTAGATATTGTTTCTCTTTCATTTTTCTCTCTATTCTGTTTGTGCATGCATCAAAAAATGAGAGAATGGAGAAATAGTTCATATCCAGTGTGATTTGATAATACTGTTATAATAGCTGGGTTATAAGAGCTACAACTAAAACCATAAACATTTCCTTTTTTGAAACAAAATAAACAATAGTTGAAATAAGCAACATTTCCCAGTTGCATTTAGTTTAACCTGATGTACTAAAATAATTAAAACTAAAACTGAAATAAAAATTATAAAAACTACAAAAAAATCTAACACACTAATACACAACATCAGTATCGAAAGTATTAGTACAAGATCCACCCATCCTACATGTTTCACTCAAATGCATCTTCTAATAAAAGTAAAATAAGTTTCACATGCTATTTAATGTTGACTGTAATAATGTCTTTGTCAGATAAGATTTAAAGTGTGCACTAATAAACTGTGCTATTGGCCCAATTCATTCTTAGTGAATTCCCACCATACTTGTGATAAGTGGTTGTGATAAGAAATTCATGAGGAGATAAACAGTTAACACACACACACACACACATATTCATGCACACTGCAGAAACTCTGTCTCGCTCAGTTTGGTGACAAGCTGTAATGGCTTTGTACTCCAGCAGATGGTCACTGCAGTCCTTATTACGGAGGTCTCCACAGTGACTGCTTTCCTCAAATCTGCTTACACACACACACACAAACTAATGCATGCATGCATAAAACATTTACAGAAAGCTCAAGGCCACCTAAAATATCAACAGCATGTGCCCTCGAAGAGAAAGCAGCCCAGTCTACATCGACACATAATCAACGTGCTTACACAAGCATTCCTCCATGATACTGCCTCATTAAACTTGAGTTATGAGGTGATTTTGCTGTGTTTTGCACATGTAAGGACTCGAAATTGACCATAAACTGGTTCAATACCTGCTGGGTGATGGCGAACCCAATGGCTGGGTCTCCCTCCAGAATGTCCCATGTCACTATGGCCGAGTTCCCCTCCAGTGCTTTGATGGTCACATTGAGCGGAGCAGATAAACTGTCTGAGGATGACAAAAATAAAATACATAAAGGGATAAAAGGTGCTGATGTGACATACTGCAAGACCTCTTGTGCTTACAGTCCCATATTCATGATAAAAAACATTAAAACTGCAGAAAATGTGCTTGACTGTGCATTGCATGCACTCTCTACATATGAACTTCAAAGTTCATGTTTGCTTATTTTTAATAATGAAACTTAATATACTGTAAAAAAAAAAAAAAAACAGTGCGGTTTGGCTGATGGAAATGCCCCGATGCTTAGCTCTATGTTTGCTCTAGATCAATATTTCCACTGCTCTTTACTTTTATTTACTGTGTGGGAGCTCTTAGATTGTTATCTGAACCAGTCTCTTTGCCTTTGATGGTCATCAAACAAAGAAAATGGCCTGGCACAGCCTAGAGTACACAAAGCCAGCCGCCGTTTGGCCATTGGACATTTTTTCATGAATTAAATGGAAATTAAATCAGAAGTTGTGTGTCATCACTTGTCAGAATGATAATATGCCGCTACATAAATCGGTGCGTGAAGATCTAATCATCAGTAATGTTTGTTGACTACAGAGTGATATGGTTGTCTGCTTAACGTCATCCATCACAATGTAACAAATTCACACCCTGCAGATGGGAAATAGTGTATTTAAAGGGGATGACCGACAGAGAAAGCCAGTCATCCCTGAGGACACAATATGTCTCCCACTGGGCAGGATGTGTTTGGAACAGTCATACATTACACTTTAAATAGGGGAGTAATGTAACATGCATTCAGAAACATGCCTCAGTAGTTTATTGATGCCTATGAGGAGTGCATTCGCATCCCAGAATTCATGGTTCATGAGTTAGTTTGCCCCAAATGTAAATTCTGCTATCATTTACTCACCCTCATGTTGTTTTGAACCGCTTGAACCACTTCCCCATAGAACACAAACAGAAAAAGAAAGTGTTCTTTTCCATACAATGAAAATTAAAGGCAAATCAATGGCCTATGTGTTATATTCACTAAAACTATTAAAAAATGTTTTCGTTAATTTAAATAAACTGAAATAAAATATAAATAGTTGATGAAAAACCTAAAAATTTAAAAAGTATGTATTGTAACTAAACGAGGAAAGTTTACATACTAAAATTACTAAAACTGAAAAAAAAAGCTAAATATAAATACAAAAAAACAGAATGACAAAAGCACATAAAAATGACTAAAATGTAAACAAAATGAAAATGAAAATATAAAAATAAAAGTTCATTCATAATTTTAATCAATACTATTATAGTATATAAATAATACTAAAATAACACTGTTTTTTGAAGTCAGACAATAGCTTTGTGTAAGGAACAGACCTAAATTTAAATCGGTTAAAATGACCGATTATAACACGGCAGTGAATATGCTGAAGTGAAAAGGAGATTTGAGATCTATGGTGGAAAATCGTCTCAGGTTACTTATGTAACCATGGTTCCCTGAGTAGGGAACTAGACACTGCGTCCTCTAGGGGTCGCTATGGGGAACGCCTCGTTGTGACCCGTGTCTGAAGCATACATTGAAAAAACACCAACTCGTTGGCCAGCGACAGCCATGACGTCACTACCGGTGCGACTATAGTATAAATAGGCGCCGGGAGCACACATCATTCGCTTCGTCTGAAGCTTGCGTCCGCAGCATGGCAAGAAACCTAGAGGACGCAGTGTCTCGTTCCCTACTCAGGGAACCATGGTTACATAAGTAACCTGAGACGTTCCCTTTCATGGGAACTTCGAACTGCGTCCTCTAGGGGTCGCTACTATAGTCGCACCGGTAGTGATGTCATGGCTGTCGCCGGCCAACGAGTTGGTGTTTTTTCAATGTATGCTTCAGACACGGGTCACGACGAGGCGTTCCCCATAGCGACCCCTAGAGGACGCAGTTCGAAGTTCCCATGAAAGGGAAGCAATTTTCAGTGAATAACAACTTAAATATTGGTTTCTTCCTCACATTAAACTTTTGTATGACTTCAGAAGACTCTTAATATACTGCACAAGTCATATTTTTACTTGTATATATGTTCAGCTTTTGGTTACTATATGCTTTCATTGTATGGAAAAGAGCAGCTTGAACATTCTGCTAAACTACTTCTTTTGGTTTGCATGGAAGAAAATCATGAGGATTTGGGACAACATTAGGATCAGATTTTCATTTTTGGCTAAGCAATTCCTTTAAATAAGAAATAATTAGTTCGAATTTTTCTTATTCCAGTTTAAAGCCACTATAATCAAGCCATTTGTACACATTTCACCTTTAATGATTGGATGTGTTTTATAATTTGCCTTTTATTTGGATATTTTCCAAAAATCTTCAATACCTAATACTCACCGGCGAAGCCTTTCAACTTAAATTATGCTCTTAAAGTTCCCCTGAAATGCTTAGAAACACGCAGTGTTACGCCCCATTCACACGGGGCGTCAGCGTTAATGCTTGACGGAGGGCGTTTCTGAAGCTTGGTGCTGACGCGACCGTCATAGTGACAACAGCCAATCACATTAGTCTTCTGGTGTTGCATGAACGCGATTGGCTAGCGTCTGCGCTAGGGTATTTGCATAAGGCGATCTGATTGGCTGACGCCACCCAAAAAACTTTAATTTTGATTTCATGGGGACTTTAAAAACAAATAAGGTCAAGCTGCCTCAAACACATGTGTTACCACCACTAAAGAGTTGAGGTTTCAGACATCATGTTAACACATACAGTACATTAATGTAACCTCAGGAACCTTAGGCTGAAGACGTTCACTCAGTCTTTCTGGATCCCATCGGTTGGTAATGGCTTCTCTCATGAGACTCATGTTCTATAGGTCCTTGGCTTGCAGCCAGACAGCAAACCTTTTGTGTATTAGCCTGACAAACGTGATTTGAATGTATGGACTCTCAGGGTATTCAATCTCGCAATGAGCACTGCTTAGGAATACTGTCCCCTGGAAAAGTTCATGCGATTCATTTTTCAAACTGTCAAACTAAACTCAAAATCACATTTGCTAGTCGCCCTTGTAGGAAGCATGAGCGTTCGGGTTCCTATGTGTCTGAGAGGTGTGCAGTCAGGTGGGCAGCGGTGGTCCGGTGATACTCTTTACCTAGACCTGCAGCCGTGATTTAGGGAGCCCTGGCTATGAGGTGAATCTCCTGGCTTGGCTTGACTGTGTCCACGGTCCCTGGACATGGCAGCCCTCATAAATATGTAGCTTAGTGCTGCCATCCCACAGGAAAATTGGAGGGATATTTATTGGTGTAAATTTTGGTCAGGTAAAGAGTAACCGAAGCTCATTTGATGGAGAGAGGTTGTGCTATTTTGTTTCAGAGTAAATGCAATATTTTTTTGAGTAGAGAAATATTTTTTTGTGTTTGTATGAGGCCGTCAGGTGCTGCAGCTTTTCAAAATCAGATCACAAGTCTGAATTTGATCAAAAAAGTATTATGGTGCAGCACGAGAAAATTGTACGTGACTGATTTTGTTCCTATGCATTTGCATTGCTCTTATGATGAGTGTTCAAGAAAGAAGACTTTCAGAAAATATACCAAAAAGAGACTAATTATACAACATGCCCCATCATTAGAGGTGAAATATGTAACTTCTCATAACATCTCTTATTATTAGAAATGTTGAAAACGGTTGTGCTTCTTAATAGTTTTTTGGAAACTAATATATACATTTTTTTTTTTTGATTATTTGATGAATAGAAAGTTCAAAAGTATGCCATTTATTTAAAATCTTTTGGGAAAAAAACAATGTAAAAATCTTCGCTTTGACTTTTGATTAATTGAATGCATTCGTGCTGAACAGATTTACATTTTTTTCTTTTTCAGATATTAATTCCAAACCAAAAAACAAAATTTCCAAAACATCTGCCAAAATCCAGCTGATGCTGTGCATTCAGATGTGACTATAGTTTGGGAACAAAATTTCCAAAAGTGAGCTATATCTGTCAAAAGCTTAATTTGGGGACATTTTAATTGGAAAATCTTTTATTGGAGAATCAATAAAAATCCTTTTTCTTTTCTTTTGTAAGGTTTATCTTTAGAGTTACAGAGTTTGTCTGCTGTATTATAATTAGCTTTATATAAAAACATAAAAAAATCTATTGTATGTCCTCATTTAATGAAGGAAATGTTTGCGTAAGTCAGGTTTTGGTGGGGACCAAATGGATGGTAAAAACTTTAGTTATTTAAATTGTAGAGACCAGCCAATAAGCCTAATAAACACTAAATCTCGTGTTAAGGAAAAACACAGAAAGGTTTCGGTGAGAGTTAGGGAACAGAAAATATCATTAGTTCAGCATAAAAAATAATAGAAGTCAAAGAAAATCCTCACCGTGACAGGAAGAAAAGTGAAAAAGTGAGGAAAACTAGCAGCTTAGACCAATGTTTCATTATTTCCTTGATTCGCGAGATTATTTCTCACTGTAAAGTAATTTAGCAAAAGTTCCCTTATGAGGAGGAAAAACTGAGCCGCTGATTAACAATTCAGTGATGTCAGAGATGACAGGATGCAGTTTGGCCTGAAGTCTGTAAACGATTTCACAGCTCAAGCTGAACTCTAGACCAAGAATATTTCACCCTTGAGATTCAAATCCCAGTCTCTGATCCAGAGACCCGTGGCCTGCTTCAACTCAGAGGAAGTGATGCAAACAGCTTCCCTCCAGCATCTAATAACATCTTAGCTTGGAGTCTGTGCCCCATGCCGCCTCTTATTTTCAGATACTTTTGACAATATTTTGTGTGAGAGTAATATCAGCCAGTGACAATTCAACTTGCTAATTTTGTGTGATTATAAAAATAAAATGACAGAGTCTAAAAATGAACACATTTAATCAAAACCTACGACCCCACAAAAAAAAGAAATTTTCTTTCTGTATGAATAATTCATGCATATATATATATATATATATATATTTCTTCAGCAAATATAGCAGAGAGTAAAACTGTAAAATGCATTAACCACTGCACCACAGTTCCAAACGTCTGAGCAATTCAGGCTTCATGTGCCGCACCAAACTACATTTATACACGTATGACAAACAATATATTGACGTGTCTTTTTCTTTGGCTGTTCAAGTATTGCCAGTCTTAATTGGGGGGCTTTTATCAGTTAAATATTAATTTATATGATTAATCGTGATTAACTCAACAATTTTGTGCAGTTAACATTTTACTGACTGACATCCCTAATGAGTCAAAACAAAACATCAGTCTGATAAACTGATATATTTGCTCTAATATGCAATGCACAGGAGCGACTGGCCCCACTAAACAACATCAGACTCATAAAATATTCACAGTGTCCTCCCGTAGCTTTGATGAGATGCCTGACACTGTCAGATGAAACAAACATGTGAGAGCTCGGAGAGAGGAACTCCGCGTTGCACATTGCGGGGGCACCTCTGCCTTTCATCACAGGCGTCATAACAAAACACACCAGGCCTGTAATAAGACCAAACCCTCTAAAGTTGATCAGTTATTCTCTGACATGTTTGTTTCGCCTGCTTCCTCTGTTGCTTCTGTGTTTGAAACTGTGTTCTTTTCATAATGGTGAGGAAACGTCACTTGCTCTCTTCATTAATATTCCTGCGTCCTGCATCACTGCCAGAGCCTCAGTATAAAGACGTATGGACAGAGGCTTTGTTGCCTCTCTAGACCACATAAAAGAGAAAAGCAGAGTGAAAATGTTTCGGTGTGCTTTGTCAGCCGTGGATGTCTATTATAGTTACATAATCTTACACATTAACAGCCACTACACCGTAATCACATAGCACGCGCTGTGCTCTTATTTCCACAAACAGAGGAGTATGTTTCCACATCCCAAATTTACGTCTTGACAGATATATGGCACAGCCATATCATTTCACAGCAACTTTTATGATACACTTCTATTTCTACACTATTATAGCAGTATATAATTTTCAGATTGCCAAACAGGTGCCGCTGAAGGGAAATAGTAGACTGTTTAAGCAGACTGCCCTCCTTCACCAAACAACTGTAATAGAATGAAATTGCAGGTGACTTCCTCTAGAAAGCTATACATTTAAGTCCTGTAGGTTTCTTGATGGCAGCGGTTTATTATGCGATTATCGTAAGTTTCTGTTACATTAAAAATCCGATTATGTCTTGTCAATCAAAAGGGGGCGGGAAAAGCATTTTCTGAAACTCGCTCAGTGTATAAAATATTTATTTTAAATAAAGTTATATACAGAATGCAAGCAATATAACAACATTCAGTGATTGATCTCATCCATTATATCAACAAATCTGTCTACAATGTACAGTAATCACAGTAATAATGGTGCATGTTTGGTGTTACAGATTCACATATACGCTGAAAAAAGGTAACCTAAAAATCATAATATTTAAATTAAATGGGTGTATTCTAGTCAAAAATATCAGTCTAAATACATGTATAGCAAAGCTACTTTATATAGGTTAAATAATGTAGAAATAGCTCTTAAAGTAACAATTGCAGGTTACCATTACAGGCAGCATGACATTAGCAATTTCAAAGTAATTTCAAATTACTGCCGATATATTTCACTTTTTTTCTAAATCACTAGGTGATGCACTCATTTTCATGCCACTACCAACAGAAATAAAGCACACATCTGGACCAAACTGCTGAAAACTTGCTCATTAGGACCAGTTATTGTTATGAATATTTACATTTACATTTGCCACTGCATTCATGCACCCTAATATGCTTTGTAATGGTTTGTAATTTGTTTCAGTGTTAAAATTGGCACTGGTTTTAATACAAAAAAAAATAAAAAAGAACGAATGTGCATAACTGTGATAGTCATTAGTTTATATCATGCAAATTGTTCGCACTGTATTTTCCATATCTAAGCTTTTTATATTGAGAAATTGAGTTTTAAAGCACTTTACAAAAGTAAGTTATTATAATAATTTATTTTCAAGCTGTGTAATTACTTATCGGTATTTTAAAACAAGATAAGGCTGAACAATCCAAAAAATGATATTGCCAACAATCTGATATTGTTATCTGCATATAGGCTACATCTTTGAAACAAGCTAATATTTTTAGGTTTGCAAATGAATAAAAATAATAAAATGCCATGATTCTCGGAATATATCAGGCCAGAGAAAAAGCATACTAACATCGATATTAAATGATATATTGCTTTGAAAGGTTCAATTAATGGAGAAAGACCAACGCAAATACGATTGAAGGGAATGGATTTGCGACGTTGACAATTAAAGTAATCATTATTCTGCTGTAGTTATTTAGCTGTTCTAGTTATCAGATCGTTTCCAATTTAACAAATGAATTCAGTATAGCCGACTATAAATGTGTCTGCGTCCAGACACATTCCCTAAATCCCAATGCACTAAAATGTGATCTAGTGTGCATTCAAACTGTCATTTCTGTCTGGAGACCAGGTTTCTGCCGTCTCTGTGAACAGAATCAGTTAGGATCATATGAATTGTTCACAGCATTTACATGCAGTCTGGACGAACAGTGGAAACCCACGAGCGTCTTGTGCTTCCCAATAGACAATAAACTGAACAGGTAGTAGCGCATCATTTATTCATCTCATACCCGCAACCTGTCTGTTCTCTGCCAATGTGAACATATCAGAATGCATCGCACTATGCATACCGTTTGTAGTTAAAAGATAACTACAAACACCGTTGCAATTCTGTTCATGCACGCAGAAATAATGTAATAGGGGTTTATGTCTGTTTCTATATCGTGCGCAAAAAGCCCATAAATTACCATATATAATAATGACATTCCTCACAAAATGAGTAGCCTACAATCACGCAAACTTACCGGCATTAACCGAGGATACGGAGATATAAGCCAAAAACAACAATAACCGCGCAGCGCACGAGCCTTTAATTCCCCACATCCTTCAAGGAATTCTTTACATTCTGTTCGGAAGACGTTGAATCCCATTTACTCGCAAGATTTTTAAACGTATAAGTCGGCGTCTATGTGTTTAACATTCACGACTGCTTGCCGTCTTTACTCCTGCATCAGTCCAGAACAGCACTGACTGGATCTAAACTCCGTACTTGCCGCAGAAAGTCGACATGAGAGGACTGCGTGAGCCCATTGGATGGCATTTGTCACTATTGCCAATGGGACATAATGCATACTTGCTCCAGGGGGCGCTCGGTGGCTCACAAAGCCGAGTCCTCTATTGAAACTCATTCAAATTTAAGTTGGGTTTCAAGAGCATTTCTAAGCCAAAAAAAGCATAATGGATTAAATATATTATTATAACTCTTCGTGTCTGGCGTATAAACGATAAGTCAGTTACAGCAACCGCTGTATAAAGGCTAAATAAAAGACTATATTCTGTCACCAAAAACGGCTGCGATTAGTCTGCCCTTCCAGCGCTGAGAAAAGTAACATGCACCACGTGACAACGCTGTCCAAGTTCCAGTAGTGGTCCGGACGATAAATCACACCCGAAGAAAGACACTGAGAATCTTCATCATAGAAAAAGAACTGGAACTGAAGAATAAGAGAAGAGTACTTAGACCGTTAGGGGGTCTAAATAATAACTCTCAAACTGAGGCTTGACCCAAAAAACAAAGGTTGAGGAAGGCTTTAATAGTAGGCTACATAAAGGCCTACTAAACACTTTTGATACAACAGCCTATTTAAATTATATTTCACAACCACAAAAGTTTACCTAGCACAAAATAAACACTTAGATAAAGTAGCATACAATACACTGCTTGTGTGCTTTCTGTTAGGATCATTGACTGACAAAACACACATTTTGTAATAGCCAAATTTCCTATACTGGTTTTCTGTTTAAGAAGTATTTATGATTGATCATCTGTGCTACACTGAAAAAAAAAGGTAACCGTAAATGCTGACATCGAATCTACCTAAATACACCCAGCAGGCACAGGACATCAATATAACATCAGGTTGACGTTGGATATGACGTCGGACAGAAGTTGCATTTTGGTTGAGAATGGTTGAGAATCGAGCTGATGTCACTTGACGCCAACTTGACATTGACTTAACGTTGGATTTTGGTTACACAACCTAAAAGCAACAAATATCAACGTCAGCTGACGTTGGTATTGGACATCAAATTAACATTGAAATTAGACATTGAATTGACATTGAATTTTGGTCACCCGACGTGGCAACCGAAATGTAACCAAATATCAGCGTCTTCTTATGATGTTGTGTGCCTGCTGGGCATTCATTTATACCAACAATACTACATTTTATGGCTTAAATCAGCAAAAATAGATCACCACTTTTTACTGTGTGTGCTGCTAATTCATAATCTGGGTTACAACAAGACAAACCTTAGCCGATTTGCAAGATTTTCCATAGAAGTTTAAACCCCCTCAGCCATAAGTTGCATACTGACTGTAGACAGAGAGACAATGTCTGGGTTGTTAAGCTCCACCTATTTTAGGTCTCCCTTTGTCATGGTAATTGCCATTCTACCCATGTATTACATTTCTATGGTGTAGCCACTACCTGGGACAGCGCAATGAGCTCTGCATGACAGCCTCAGCTTTAGCACGCATCGACGGCTTTCAGTGTACAACATGGGGTACACAACTACAAAGCTACACTGCTGCTCTATAGTCGTTCGCTGCAGCCCATTCAGTCTCTGAATGAAATTCAGAGTGAAAGTGCTGGCAGTGTCTTCATCGCTCCCTCTCACCTGTTCCTGCCAGAATGCTTACTGAGGGAAACCACTCTTCCTAAATTTGTGGGGGTCTTTCCAGCTCTCTCCTTTTACTCTCGTGCCAAGTGCTGAGAAAATACCCACTGCGTACCGATAGGAATTGCCTCAGGATGACACCACTTTAAATTCACACAATGCACTTTCCATTCACACCGTCTGACACATTTTCATTATTCTAATGCACCTACAGTTGGCCTAATGTTGTCAGAATGCCAAGTACAAATACAACATCTACATTTAGGATATGCTGACATTTACAGTTGCAATGCAAATTTTATCAAGTATGACATTGGGCCTATTAAACAGTCACTTCTTGACTTTCATATACTGATGTAGTTCCATTTGGGGTGAGAAAAATTACATATGTGGCCTAAACAACCAACTTCATTTCCACAAGTCACATCTTACTGTACATGCATCCCAAACCACCTTCGAATCTATCTCAAATGCATCTTGAAGGGCATTTAATCTTGCGCTGCGTCTGAATATGGCTACTCCATACCATATAAATGTGAAAAGAGCTTTTTCACAGTATTCAAAAAACAGGGGAAAAGTACCCGGGTGACCTAGTACTTCTGGCGAAATTCTGAAGTGCGCATTCGATGGATACTTTAATATCCCATCAGAGTCCATAATGTCTTTTTATTTACAGTTTTTTTTTCAATTGCTAACATCCCTTTGTCCAATGTAGTCACATTTTCAAAACTCTAAACACAATTAGCACAACATCTGTTTGTTGTGTCCATACCATTAACACAATTCATGTTGTTTTTACACAATATTCAGTCAATTAACACGTTTCTAAAATTCTTACATTTTCATTTTACACAAGCTTACCCCATACCAAAATCATGGATCTTTCTTAACTTTTCTACAAATGCTTAAACACAGCATGACAGAAATGAAGACCTAATGTTCCAAACTTTAAATATAGCGTAAAGCCTCAACTTCTGCAACAACAGCAGCTTAAAAGAGCTGATAATTGAGAAATAGCTGATTCCAATCTTAATGAATAATTCCAAGTCTTTCCATTACATGGCCATGCACAATAAAAAAGGCACTCTCTGAATTGGGTTTGCTCAAAACAATGCAGAACAGCAAAGAGAAGCAGAAAAAGAAAGAAAATGTCTGGATGTGGGCGAGTAGTTGGACCAGGACTGTCTGGTTTGGTTCAGCTACAAAATCAGACATCAAGAGACTACAACGGACAGTCCGGACTGCTGAGAGGATTATTGGTGCCCCCCTGCCCAAACTCCAAGATCTTTACATCTCCAGAGTGAGGAAAAGGGCTAAGAAAATCACTCTGGACCCCACAAACCCAGCTCACTCTCTCTTCGAAAAGCCAGACATAAGAACAGTTTTTTCCTGCAGGCTATATTCAGCATGAACAATTAAAACATTCATACCTATACATCGTCCATCACAACTGACGCATTTATACATATGATAGAATCCGAAAATTGTACATTTGTATATTAGACATCCTTAAATAACATATCTGCACACTTGTAAATAACATATCAGTACATTAATTTAAACAATTATGTTTTTTCCCCTCTATATTTCTACTTCTGTATATAGTGCATTATTTAATTCTCTGTTTTTCTTATATTACAGAAGTGTTATAATTCCTATGTATGTCTGCACTATCATGCATGTTTGCACTGTCCATACTTTCTTCTGCACTGGATGCTCCTGTCTCCAAGTCAAAATCCTTGAGTGTGTGAACATGCTTAGTAATAAAGCTCTTTCTGACTTTCTGACAAAGGAGAAGGAGAAGGAGAGGGGACAAAATGCAACGGGGTGTATGTTTTTTTTCTTCACTGACAGCAATTTAATTTGGCCAATAAAGCGTTTACTTCAGCAATTCTGTAACTTTTCTTTTACATTTCATAAAGTATTGATGACTCCTTCATCATGCAGTACACATACTATCTAAAATGAATTCACACACACAAAAAAAAAAAGTTCAGCTGACTGAATTATTATTATTATTTTTATCTAAATGTATCTCATATTGTATGTTCTATACAGGTCGAACTGAGACATGGCAAGTAATGCAGTTTTTGTAATGCCATTAACTGTTATCATTTGACAGTCTATATGTGCTATGATTGACTATATGTTCCTATTGGATAGAAAAGCAGGGCTAATGTTTTGACCGAATGACTCTATTTTGAATCGGGTTTGCTGTGTTTTGATAGAGTTAGTATATGCAGAAAAAGGCATTCAGCATTTTGAAAGGTAGAGTTTGTATTTATTTAACAAAATGTGGTTTTGACCAGAAAATTAACTATTTGGCCAATTGTGTGATGTAGGTGAGTTGCTGTGTTAAGAGTTTAGAAAAAGTACTTTACATATTGGTAAATGCTTGTTAGCAATTGAAAAAAACTAATGTAAAAACATCACTGAGTCACAGAAGTATGAAATAAATGACAGGTCTGATTAACGCTTGCATTTTACTGGCTGATTCTGGGAAAGGAATGAACAAAACCTCATAAACTAGCCACTCCTAAAAAGGCACACCACAAGGACCTGATGTGAGACCACTGAGAGGTTCCCATATCTCAATCCTTTTTTTTGGGATTGGTTAATGGAGAATACCTTGTGTTTTTCCATGGGTGATCGGCCATTTGAAAGGGCTTTATGGTTGTAAAGTAAGTTTCCATCCTCTACCAGACAGTATGCGATTTCAGATGCAGCTTTGATCTTTTCATAACTGGATAGCTATACAGTCAGTAAAAAAGCATGAAATACCAATGTTGTTATTGTTACCTAAAACTAAATCTATTAAACATTCATTTAAAAAGTAATTGTAACTGACAAATAAAGTAATCAGTTGTTGAAATAAAGCTAAAAATAAAATATAAACTAAAACTAACTCAAAATTCTAATAAATACTAATATATATATATACATATACACACACACACAACACTAAATTAACACTGGTAAATACACTTACTATCAACGGTTCAGCCCTCAGCACATTAAAGAGGTCTTACTTTGCAACTATCTGACCTTCTTCTAAGGAACAAGTCCAACACATTCTGGTCTTAATGACTGCATGAGACGTTAAGAGAGCAGGACATTTAGAGACAGCATGTTCCCACTGCATTTCAAATGCTGCCATTTGTGCGGGAACTTTTTGACCATCTTTCTGTTATATCTGCCCTTGAGACTGGTAACTCGGGTACAATATGTGGGACATTCTTCCATCTTTTTGGCAGATGCTGAGTGGTTTCTTTTTTTCAGTGTATGGTTACTTCCCAGATGTAAGGGTCTAGGGTAAGGGGGTAACAGAGAAAAGT